GAGGGATTGAGTAAAGATCCACCACAATAGTGCTCTGTTTTATTGACTATACTCAGGATATCAACCTGCCAAGGCCAGGAGTTAGCTCTTGCTTCACGTCCTCCAACGATTCGACTTTGACCGCCAATTCCTTCTGGGAGAAAGCGTACACCACACTTGGGAACGCCTAGAATAGACGAAGAAAAATTGGTGATATTAACAAAAACTATTAGCTTGCATTCTTATCGATTTGTTATATTTTGAACGGGCAAAGTTTATCAGAAATAACTGCTTAGATCTTGAAATCCCATGCGACTAACAAAGGGTGACATATTGCGTGACCAGTTTGGTATTAGCGTGACATACCATACATGACGCTCTCAATGAAGGGCAGCATTCGTTGAACGTCTGTGTATACTCCATACTTATGTGGTAAAGCACACTCGTCTCCCCAGCTCACCAGGCCTCTTAGTACCCAGTCCCCTGCCTCGTTCTGGCAGACGAATGGTCCTCCGCTATCGCCAAAGCAGGCATCGCGACCTCCAGCTTCATAGCCAGCACAGAAGAATTGCTGAGGTATTCTCCCGTCATAGGAAATGTTGCGGTTACATACCTCCAGTGAGACCAATGGAACCTGACAACGAAGATAATACTCAAGGGAATGACGCGTGGTCTGAACATGGAAGTGAAAAGTATTGCATCATAGCAAAGTATAACTAGTAAAGAAAGAAGATAATACTCAAGGGAATGACAATTGACCTACACTGGAAAAGATCACTTTTTAGCAGAAAAGCATAACTAGTAAAGCAAGAAATAATACTCAAGGTAATGGCACATGGTATGAAATGGGAAAACATTGCATCACAACAGAAAACTATAACTAGTAATTAAATAAATAATACTCAAGGGAATGACAGTCTGATATATTATTCAAAGTTAAAAATTAGTACCTAAAGGAGTTTTTACCTGTAATTGTTGAAGTACTCGTGAATAAGTTCCATTACTTCCCGCAGAAGTCTTCCCCCAGCCTGATATAAAACACATCTTTCCATCTTCAAACCACTCGTCATCTTCATTTGGTAAACAAACAGGCTGAATACGATCAGAAAACTCCAGTCTCTCCTTCAAATGCATCAGCGCCACGTCATAATACCCTGGGGTATAAGCCCCTCCAATCACATACCCCGGATGGAGGTACATCCGATCTGGCACAATGTATTTCTCGTATCCTTCCAAGGTCATCCGATCGTGTTCTGCTAGGCGTAGCACACGCTCTCCAACTGCTTCTGAGCTGTAAATATCTACGCAATGCCCTGCTGTTATGATCCAGTGTGGGTCGATTATAGACGCACCACACCAGTGTTCAGTGTTGTTAAGTGTCACCTCTACTTGCCAAGGCCATGTGTATGGAGTTGCAGTTGTGCCTTTTATGATGCGTGCTTGGGGCGTGGTCTTGAACATCGGCCTTTTGCCACATGGTCGAAGGTCTTCAAATAAAACCATTCAACATTTCTATGGATTTACTCTGTATAACATGGCAGGGCACATATTGATACACTATTTGTGCTGATTTCAAGTCTATATGTCTCAAGTAATAGCTGTTTTCGTCTTTTGAGAACAGACCTTCTTATTCGTTTGGCGTAATGTTTTCCCATTTCAGAACACGTGTCATTCCCTAGAAAATCATTTCTTTGTTTAACGGTTGCGCATGAGAAGACACATGAATATGGCTTGCAACTCAAGCAAAGAATCTTATTCTCAAAATAACGACGCGTGGTCTGAAACGGAAAAACATTACGCCAAACGAATAAGAAGGTCTGTTGAAATGCTGGTTGCTCTCAGCCGGATTTAGGAATGACTGAATCCTGCAGTCTGTATGATATATGGGATATTTACATTACATATTTACCTTCCATACACCCGTAGACCTCCAGACGTAAAGCTATAGCAACGTTCCACTCCACAGGCTTGACACGCAGATAATGGACTGTTAGAAGAGCGTCTAGGCGTGAATGAACCACACTATTACGGTCAGTGCTTCCTTCCAGAACCTGAGTCATAACACAACATTCCTATAGCGGCTAGCCTCGGTTATGTGCATTGTATGGGTGGATACATTGATTGTTAATGGATATTGTCTTTTGTTGTTTATGGTAATGTATCAATCTCACTTTAAAATAGATGTTGCAGCATGCTTTGTTTAATCAGTCAATTAATCTCTGACGTTGTCATTTTACATGGTTAAATAAAGGTTCAATTACAGTGCAACCATACACTTTGTAATCTAAACTCAGTTTACATGAAACCCATGGCAGTTCTCAGCGTTCTCGTAGTCATGTTGGATAAAAAACAGGATAATTGTTTTTGCTTCTCGCGACAAACAGTTCGACCGTCGACATGGTTTTCGTCACGTGATCTTGCTGTATCTTTTAGACTAATTTCGCTAGCGCTTGTTCATTTATAACTTGAGATTGTAAGTTGAGTAAAACTAAATTAAATTAGGTTTAATTATAATTAGTTTGTTGTGCTAATAGCTACGCTATTACTATGGCAACATTGTCATATCACGTGAGCTATTACCATGACAACATTTTTACATCACGTGAGCTATTACCATGACAACATTTTTACATCACGTGAGCTATTACCACAGCAACATTCATTACATCACGTGAGATATTACCATGATAACATTTCAAACTATTACCATGACAACATTCTTACATCACGCAAACTATTAAAATGGCAACATTTTTCTAACACGTGATACCTCGGGATAAGAGCTCCAGGTGATGCCATCTATGCTATAATCCAATTTGTACTTGGTAACCCATCTGTCCATATTTGGATGCCCCTGGATACCAATGCCTGAGACGTTTGTTTCTCTTACAAAGTGAATCTGCAGTAACTCACTGACGTCATGTCTAGCAGGTACCCAGGCGCTTGTCGAGTTGAGTCGAGCGCGGCCCGGATCGTGATCGAGGCTCATGAACGAACTGGCAGTGACGTCCATGTCCTCGATCCATCCATTCTGCATCCCTAGAGCTACGTCACATCCTAAGTACGGCAAAAAAATCACAAATTTGATAGCGTTTGAAATAGGTGTTCAACATGCAATCATTCACATAATGAAAAAGTAAAGAACCGTGGCCGCCATCTTGATTGACATAACAAAAGCAACTATGGCGGCCATAGATGAATGACACTTTGAAAAGCGTGCAGGTCATGTTGGGTTAATAAAGTAATAAAGTTAATAAAGTATTGGTTTCTGGTACACACACTGTCTCCATAACAACAGTGACTCAGAAACCCCGAAAAACAATCTGCTCACCAGAATAACAGTTCAATTAATAGTAACCAATAATATATTATTAATTCATAGATAAATATCTCTTGTTGATATCATTATTTTTCATTGCACCCGTGCCATTAGTTAATCGTTTTGTAAAGTGAGTTGTTTTTAAAGAACTGAGTTCAAAACGTACTGGCAAGAAACTCGAAAATAGAAAGCGATGTCGTTGTCCCTACCTGTGATATATAAAAGTGTTCACAATAGATATTATTAATATCATTAAACCTCGCCTAGGACTCTTCCGAAACGATCCTCAAACGATCCCAAAACTAAACTGTAAGCCCTTGTCGATTAGCTCAGTTATGTTACGTGCTGTTGCTCAGTCGCAAGCAAGCCACTACTCTACACAATGTAAATGACTATAACACGTAGCTTTCGTAGGATACGAGAAATCAAAGTGGTACCATATGCTTAAAGGAAAACTATAAACCACTGTTTTGTTTATCTTTCTTGTTGAAGTATACTCTGCATACATTTGTATCGTTTCGATTGTCAATAAAGTTGACCGTAGAAAGCCATACCTTTCGTTCCAGAAGAGATGCGACTCTCCCCGCTCACAAAATACATGCCTGAAAACGAGTAATAGATACAAGGTTAGAAAAAGTGAGAACTACGTAAAGGATTTGTGCGATAACTATGTACAAATGTTCAAACGAAAAGTAACGATTTCAAACTTACAATTCAGTAAACATGAATACCACAACAAATCAAAGCAAAACGTCATCCTGGTGTTGAAGAGCGGAAGAAAAAGGTAAAATAAAATCACAGTCCGGTAGTTGAAGGCTTTTTTTCAATGGATACAGCGAGTAAACGAGTACAAAATACTGTCATCCAGTCGTTTCCTCCAAACAAGATGACAGTTGGTCAATTCACCGATTATCGGATCTCTGTTTGCACTAACATTCGATATTCTTATTATCTGTCAATCATCTCGAACATTATCATAATACTTCAGATAATTAACAAGATCAGGGAAATCACTTTTAATCTCTAGAAATTGCGAAAAGCTGGCAAAAATGTCAAAAAGGTTTATCAGATATGTAGTGACCAGGTTTTCTGCGTTTTTCTATTTTTATTAGCTGGGTCTCAATCTCAGAGGGTCCGAAGGRCTTTTTCGGTGATGGTTCTATCTGTCAACGCTTATTAACTCGAAGTTCAGAGTTTAAAGCTATAAAATTCTCATCAGCCGTTAAAAACCGACTCAAAGTTCTGTTTTAAGTGAGTGACCTTTCTTGAATTAGTTGCACAGCAAGACAGAGCTGTTTATAATCTTTGGACTCGTGTTATTATACCAAACAGAAGTCTCTGCCTACAAAACTGATCATCGTATTGTCTGCTGGAATTAAGTTGACGAGTAAGTGCGAAAAGCTTAATTAAAATGTTTTGACCGTTGTCTTTGATGAATTGCAATCGATTTTTAATCGATATGTTGTCGAGAATTGATCGTGTCTTTAACGACCAAATCCGTGATTCATATCATCAAGACTGCTCAATGTTTATCAACATCTGCTACTAAATATCCTTAGCCCTTGAGTTTTTGGCTTTTCTTTATGGTCTAATTGCAATCCTTGATCACTTTAGCTCAGATACGCCAGTCAAACACAAAGCAGTCAATCGAGGCTGCAGAGTACTTCGTTCAAATTTGTACCTTGTAGCCTCGACTGAGTGTTTAGTACATTTATGGCTTTTCTACAATTTGGGGAAACTAGTTGTTGATGTTACTGTTACTACTACTGTTGCTGTTGACGTTTTGTCAATGGATATTGTTGCTGTCACCTGATGTTTTAGGTGGTATAAATGATGCTTGGAAAGTGATATTGTCATGGTGATATGTTAGCAGTGCGGTTGTCATGACTACAGCCATGCAATTCAATTAACAACTATGTTCCCGTCTTGTTATTATTTACTATTACATCAATTAGGGAGTGTCAATAATAAACTGGATGATAATCACTTAYTGATCTTTTAAAAAATTCCATAATTTGGGTTCCCTGTGGTGAGGGTTCATAAAGTAATGATTATTATTATTTATTTATTTGTATTAATTAAATATATATATGGCCATGGTTTCGCTCTATCGACGAAGAGGTTAATGGCACGGCAGGTATATTTATTATTAACGACCGACAAAAAGACAGGTACCCGATTTGAACAACTCTCAACGGAACAACAAAACGACTTCACAACAAATGAACAACCCATAAACCGCCATGTTCGTAGCTATTTTTAAAAGCTTTCGACCAGAATTCGGGGTTAAAAATTCATAAGTGGATAAATAGCAAAGATGATGGATTGTGGAAGGATTTTTAGTCTATTACTGGTCGTTTTTGTGACTTGTTTCGGTGCCAATATTCCACAGCAGAATGCTTTCAGGACAAACGACACTGCTATTGCGGTTGCTTTTTTGAAGGACATCGAAATACGAGGTTCGAAGACGATTATTGAAGAATCTGAAGCCCTGTGGAATTATTATACGGACTTGACTCCCAAGAAGGAAGAGGTGTCCATCAAAGCGTCTACACGAGCTAAAGAATTTTACTTGGAAGCAAGTAAGAATGCTTCTGCAATGCTAAGCAAGCATGTGGATCTCTCTCATGATGTAGCGAGACAGATGAGACTTATTCGGCGAAATGCAATGCCAAATTTACAAAAAGACGTGGAAGCTATAGAGAAACTACAAGCAAACTTGACAGCGATATTCAGCAATGGTAGAGTCTGCAAGAACAGCACAGATAGCAGTAATTTTTGCATGCCACTCTTTCCTGACTTGAACAACTTGATGGCGAAGTCGCGGGATTATGACGAGCTTGTGTGGGCTTGGCGTGGATGGCGCGACGCCGTAGGACCTCCTATGAGAGCCCAGTATAAAGAACTTGTTGACATGTTGAATCGTGGTGCTAGTGAACATAACTGGGGAGATTATGGTCACTTTGTAAGGAGCGAATACGAAATGGGAAATGATTTGATTCCAGTATTAAACGGTCTATGGACTGCAGTCAAACCATTGTATCAAGAACTTCACGCCTACGTGCGCTATCAGCTTAAAAAGCATTACAAAAAAATGTCTCCCGATGGACCAATCGGTGCGCACCTCCTAGGAAACATGTGGGCTCAAGACTGGTCAGCGATCTATGACCTTGTGCAACCGTTTCCTGATGTTGCACCCCTTCACGTAACGCCTAACCTCATCAAACAGCATTATACACCGAAGAAAATGTTCGAGTTAGCGCAGTCGTTTTTTGTTTCAATAGGACTTGATGCCATGCCAGCATCTTTCTGGGACAAGTCGGTGCTGAGTAAACCAGAGAATAAGTCCATGGTGTGTCATGCATCTGCTTGGGACTTTTGTCAAGGGGATGTACGGTGAGTATAACACTCATTCACTGTATATGGTATAGTACGGGTGAAAGACAGATGGTGTTGTTGAGGATGGTGGTGATGATGGGTGAATAATTCCATTGTCTGTCATGCATCTGTTTGGGACTTTCGACAAGGGGTGGTGATGGTGGTGGTGGTGGTGGTAAATTTGGTGATAACGTATTCAGTAGTATCCTGGGGTCCAGAGGTTGTTTATTCTCGTTCCAGCGTTAGCTTTTTTGACGGGAAGTCGCGTTAAAACCATCGGAAACGAAACAGAACCCCTGGAGCACAGGGTAATCAGTAGAAGCTTTAAGGAGAGAAAACAGTTTTTTTCATAATAGTGATGATAATGAAGCCCATCGATTTCCTGTATTTATATACATTTTTTATTGTAGATATGTTTGCTTAAAACATTCTTCAATATGTTTTTTTTATGTGTTTTTGTAGAATCAAAATGTGCACTAGTGTCAACCAAGATGATCTTATTACTGTACATCACGAGATGGGCCACGTTGAATACTACCTCGCTTACAAAGACCTTCCTTATGCTTACCGAACTGGAGCCAATCCAGGATTCCATGAGGCAATAGGGGACACTATAACACTCTCTGTGGAGACCCCTAAGCATCTTAAGTCAATAGGACTACTGTATAGTCTCAATACTAGTGATGGTGAGTGTTGTGAAGGGACATTATGACACTCTCTGTGAAGACCCCTCAGACCCCAACACTGACCCCTAACCCCTAAAAATTGCGAGGAAAAACAGCAAAGTTCGATATCAATTTAAGTATCTTTTAAACGAAAAAAAAAAAAAAAAAAAAAAAAAAGTAAAAGTTTAAGAAAGAAAAAAAAAAGGGAATAGAAAAATAAAATAAAATACACAAAGCGACAAATGAACACGAAAAAGTAGGAATTCTAAAAATACTGGTATAAGCTCATAATTTCAGGTTTTGTTTCTGGTAAAAAGTTTGTCTTTAAAACCAAGCTTTCTAATAAAGTAAATTATAATTAACAGTATTTCCTATTGTTTTTATTTTTATTGCTTCTAAAGCTTCCTTTATTTCCCAAAAACTTAGCAATAGAAAAATATTATATATTTGTCCATTCCTTTTCCCCCCACAATTATTTAACATCTTCCATCTTTACCCGAAAAAATATCTTATAAAAATAAATTAGTCCTCCAAGAATTGCAGATCAAACTATATGAATATACATACCTTGATTTTCAAATTTCCACTGATTTTCTCTAGTAGACTATTACCCAACAGGTTTTATAACCTCCATGCGCTAGTTCTTCATAGTCTAATTACCACATGAAGTATACATGTAAAAAACTTTCAAAGACAATAATAACAAGTGGTTTTAAAATGCCATTGGTCTGGATAAGCTAAGGATTAAGGCACTTAGCATGTATAGATCTGTGGTTTTTCACTAGTACAATTAAATCAAAATATATCTTATTTGTTGCGTTGACCGATTTTTTATAACAATGATTTTATTTTTAATAAGTTTTTTTATTTCATTTTATGAACCGTCACATGTGGGAGAACGTTTTCAACTAAAATAGAAGTTGACAAGAAAAACAATATCTAGATTTCGACCAAATCGACGACCACCGTGCATAAACAAAAAGATCACAGTTTGTTCAAATTTAAAATTGGTTTGCTGAACATAACTTACACTATTTGCCGACAATATAAAAAAACTCTCTGCGGGTCAGAGACGCAACAACCAAACACCCAACCGAACGACCGACCAATCACAGCATAGATGTAGCTTCAGTACAAACATCTTCTCTTCATCACAGACTCCTACCCAGTCGTCACTCACGCTTTTTAAATGCCGTCCTTCCCTTGATGCACCGCGAACTTATGGATGCATTAGAATCTAGTTTATTTGTTTTCTCCTATATACATTTTCTTGTTTTTGGTGTTGATATAACTTTAGTTTTTGGTAGTTGGGAGTAACTTTGATGGAACCTTTTGAGTCCGTTAGTTGTTCCCTCACTCAGTCTATCTGTCTTGTACTTGCATTTTCTTGCATTATCTTTTTTTTCTTCTTCTCTCTTTACCATAATTTTTTGTATATTGTAACTTTTGTATTTTGATTGAGTAGAAGTCTCTAAATAAATAAATAAATAAATAAATAAATAAATAAATAAATAGATAAATAAATAGATTAAAAAATAAACTCACTAAATCCTTCCCATTTACATAATATAAGTCGAATACGCAAGTTCTTAAGCAAAGATAATGCTATTACGCTTATTCATGCTTTTATAACATCACGTCTTGATTACTGCAACGGCCTATTGTATGGTCTTCCTGCGTGCCAGCTTAATAAAATACAGCGCGTTTTTAACGCTGCCGCGAGACTTATTTGTTGCGCACCGCGTTATTGTCACATTACACCACTATTAGTTGATCTACACTGACTACCAGTGAAAGAACGTACGCAATTTAAGATCTTGCTATTTGTTTTCAAAGCTATTAATGGTATCGCACCTGATTACATATCTGAGCTTATCAACATAAAGGATAAGGGGAGTTATAACTTAAGATCTAGTAAAGGTTTATTACTTGCCCCATTTAGTCGCAAGACCAGGAAAACATTGGGGGACAGATCATTGGCTGTGGCGGCACCCGCTCTCTGGAACGCACTTCCTGCAGACCTTCGCGCCATTAAAGATGTTAGTTTGTTTAAGCGCCATCTTAAAACCCACCTTTTTAAATTAGCATTTTGATAGTTTTTTAGTATTCATCAATATATTTATTCATCTTATTTGTAAATAGTCATATAGTTATATATATATTATATTATTATTGTAATGCGCGCATGATCATTGTATGGAATGCGCGCACAATAAGTGATTAAATTATTATTATTATTATTA